AAGCAGAAGAGCGTTTGTCTTGGTTTCCGCCCAATCAACTCTATCCATCAGGCTGTGTCATCTTAGATAATAAGATACTACTGCTATAGGTACGTGCCTATACTATGAGTGCTAGTTTCAATTCATTATGTATGGTAAGACCAGTAGATAGTATACTATAAGTATTTATTGTGTTTGCTTTTTAAGGAGTCTCACCCAATATGCACTCGCATTCTGTGTGAGGAGGAAAATGTGATTAGCATTTGGATAATGCTAGGGCGTTTGTAAAGTAATGTACCAGTCCTACCATGCACTTATGTCGTGCAGTTTGCCGTCTATAGCCCAACTACATACCTAGAACAGTATCCATCTATAGCTTGGACTTTTCGGAACCTCTGCTCGTATCCCACTGATCCCAGCACATTGTGCGAATGGGGGTTTAAGGTATTCCGAGTAAATACCCAACTTCAGTAACTGTAAAACCAGAGTCCTGGAGACGAAGGTTGGTACTGCTACTGATATTTCTAATACTACTAACTAGGGGTGCAGTTGATTGATAGCATTTCTGGTACTATTTTGTCCTGTATTATTTTTGACAATGACACTTATTAAAGTCGCCACTGGGCTCAAATACCCACAATCAATCGCTATAGTATGACACTATATACCGATATATCAATCAATAAGTCCACCCACAGCTGACAAGGGGAATATAAGAAAGGTTTTTGTACGTGGGCATTCAATTATCGAAAGATAATATGTGTGGCATGAAGGGATATGAAATGCAAGTGAACAGCCCCATAAACGTCATCTGAGAAGTAAGGTACTCACACTGACACTACTACCACGTCCGTCGGTTGCGTTTGGGAATGGCGAAATTGGTCAGCACAGCCCGTGGCTCCATTGTGCAAAGATGTGTAGTGTTTCTGAAACCCGACTTTGTCCTAACTCATGACGCTACAAACGAGATCAAAAGGTGGTAGTCTTTGTCGCCCCGCTTCGGTGACCAAAGCCGCATACACCCACGTTCAAACTTCGGCTTCGTGCGACTAGAGCACAAATTCGCTCTCCAGTCTGGTTAAGCCGACGACACGCCCGCAGCTGTATTCTTACATCTCCCGGCCCGACCAATTAAGTTCAAGGCTGACTAACACAAATACAGCTTTTGAGGGGTGCTCGGATGTATGTCGCCAGAAATTACTTCAGACAGCCTGCCCGCATACGAACGTGCGCTAGTCTGAAACTCAAAATCTCCTCCTACTTATTCAACATTCCTTCTGTACAGAATAAACTGCTCCTACCACTCTGGTCTCCCACGACTAGTCTTCGCCTAAGGAACTGGTCCTGAAGATCGTAGTGACGAGGGTTAACACCTCAATATATCGTCGGGTGAATCAGCAAATTTAATCAGGCGCCTGTCTCACTGAAGACTACAAACCACCCCAGTCTCCTCCACTTTTTTCAAAAGGCGCCAGCCTCAGGGGTTGTAAAAGTGCATTTATATCAAACAACAGAATGCCAGAAAATTCGTGTCATTAAAAATAATCCTCAAAATTTCAATACATGATCATGAAGAAATCGATAAATAAAACTGGCCGGAGGATGAAAAGGAAAGAAACAATGAGTATCACGCACATAAAGGAATGCAGACATTTTAAGATAAATATGTCCCTTGTATCGAAGAAATTGTACAATCCCACTAAAGGGTGCATATTTGTGCACATGTTGTGTGAGAGAGCATCTTTGATAGTTGGAGAAGTTAACACTAATCGAGATCATGCATTAAGGTCTAAAGGTCTATTGCATTGACATGAGAAGAGGCCGGAGGGAATAGGAAATTTAACTGTGAAAATGCGGATCACGTAGAAGCTAAAAAAATTGGTTTAAAACCATGTAAATCTGAATGCGCTTAAGTAGTGGAGCAGCCATTACTAAAGCTTTGTTTCTTACTCACGCAGCCATAACCTGGAAGCAGGGATAGTAGATGAAAATTGGCATGAGACAAGCTGATTCACTCTGTTGCACAAATGCGCTAGTAATCATGGATTCAACTTCTTATGTAGCATGTAGGTGTCTATGTACGCTTCTCCTCGTGGTGAAACCAAGCTGATTTCGTGTATAACCTTGCCACCGCGTACCAGTTTTTCGCGGACCCAATCTAATTGTTCCAACCCTTCATCATCTACTTGGACAAGATTGAAGAGAGGATTGCGTTCGACAAAAGCATACCTCTTCGACAGGTCGACACACGGTAATGTCCGGCCCGCTAAGCCAGTCTCATAGGCATGAGACCAGGTTAAAGAAGTGCATTTTAGGCTTCCAGGGTAAGTTTGCAGTGTAAAAGCAAAGGTGTTTCTTGGCGTTGGAACCCAGGTTTTGTAAAACGGTCTCAAGAGCAGCGGGAAAACATCCGACTTTGGGTAGCTGTAGGATCGTCCATAGGACCGTGCAACTTCAGTGATGTGCGTGACGTTAGAGATGTAGTAGCCAATATCAACAGAAGGCCACGACCAATCATAGGTGCTAAGTTTGCGACTGCCTTCAACATCCAGAAGAGTATTTGCGGGCATAATTAACTTTGCGCAAATCTTGTCTCTTTGACCACTTTCCTGGATGGTGTAATTTGGCATGAGGGTGCGCATCTTCTTCCACAATGCCGGTCTGACTTCCTTGTCGACAAGAACATCAAGGTCATCGTCCCAGGGGATAATATCATGGTGCCGAAAAGATCCAAGCAAACTGCCACCGTAGAGCATCCACCTGTCACTGAAACTGAGTTCCTCCATGACATTGGCAAATAGGTTAAATAGCTTCCACAATGTGCGCATTTGTCCACGACTGCATTGGGCTTTGAAGGGCAATTGACGGGTAACCGGAGCACCCACCGGAAATAGTAAGCATTCCCGTTCTGGCCAAGTGAGTTTTTCCAAATTTGGAAGTCTTCGACGTTTCTTTTCTGTGTGACCACTGTCCACCACAAACGTCTCCACTGCCAGTGATCGGCGTCTCAATTGGAAAAGACTTAATGTGCGGAGTGCTTTTGACGAGCTTGTTGGGATACCCAAGAATATATATGAAAGGATCACGAGGGCAGTAACGATGAGGATTGCAGTGATTTTAAACCTCCTCCACGTCAGCATAACTTTGGGTGCTTGAGGAGTCACTTTTCGTACTTGGCCCTGACTGCCTGTGTATTTAAAAAGCATAAAAAATTAATAAATAAAATGCGTAAGTGGAAGAAATTAACGCAGTATGAAGCTATTACATCATATTTTACTGCTAAGAAAGACATTAAACATTTGATTGATATCAGAGCAGGGCATGTTTGTGCTTAAAA